ACTAATACTGCTTTTATGTAAGTTTATTCATGGAATTTCAGCATACTCTTTCATTTATACAGTCTGTCACCATTTTATAAAAATTGATAATGCCTCTGTATACATTTTTTTTGGTTTATAAGCTGCTGTCAACACATTGTCTTATTTTATTGTCTCAACATCCCTGTGATGCAGGCATCATTATCCCCATGTAATAAATGAGGAAACAGGCTTTAAATTGTTGAATAACAAGTTAACACACTTAGTAAATATTCTATTAGTTAAGTTGGGCGAAGATGACCCCTTCCTTCAAGAGGCTTTGGCACGAGACTTACAAACACGAGATGGAATGATTATATGGCAACATGTAAGAAAATGCTAGATAGAATGCTACAAAATTGACAAGAATGCTGAAGGAATTCAAGGAAGAAAGATTACTGGAGATGGAATTAATCAGTGAAGGCATCATTTAGGGATAAACCTTAAGCTGGATCATAAAAGAAATATAAGATTTCAATTAGCAGTAAAAAATTACAGGAAAGCCTGGCTGGTTTGGCTCACTGGATAGAGCGTCGGTCTGAGGACTGAAGGGTCCCAGGTTCGATTCCGGTCAAGGGCATGTGCCTTGGTTGCGGGCACACCCCCAGTAGGGGATGTGCGGGAGGCAGCTGATCGATGCTTCTCAATTAATCAGTGAAGGCATCATTTAGGGATAAACCTTAAGCTGGATCATAAAAGAAATATAAGATTTCAATTAGCAGTAAAAAATTACAGGAAAGAAGAGTGACATCAGTAAAGGCATTAACATGAGAACAAGAAACACACAATGGAAAAGAATTTGAGTTTGAAGGGAGATGAGTCTGAAAGGATTAGTCTCTTAGCTGTTCAAGAAAAGTCCACTCCTAAGAGACCATGGGTTTCCAATCAATTAATATAAAATAATATGGCACCACTTGCAGTTAATTGCTTTCCAACCCAAAATATACAGAAGAGCAGTAAATGTACACTCTCTGCTATGGACCCCAGGAATGAAAAGGAGAAAGGCACAAGAGAGGCCAAGTCTAAACTGGTGGTTATGGTTATAGAAGAAAAGGTGGGTGAGTAACATGAGCCTTGTTGGCCCTCAGATCTGTGACTGGGAAACATGAATAGAACACATTTAAATGCTACCCCCCCCAAAAAAATTTCTCATTCCTTTATTGATACTTTTTCATCTGAAAGGTGCCTGACCTATTGATGATAGGAAAAAAAAATGTCCTTTTAGGCTGTTGTTCCCTACAGCCTTTCTCAGCCCAGAAATGAAACTAAGGTCAGTCACAGAATGAGTTAAAATTAGTCCCTTCCAACTTTCCTTCACAAGGCACTGCTTTGTTCTGTTGAAACTTGTCAGGTTTAAATCCAGAAAAGTCAAGGTCTTGCTTAAATGTATAATAATTTGCAAATAAGCAGATGGACTATGGAAAGGATGGGTGAGAGGCGAGGAGAAAGGAGAGAATTGGGAGGAAAACGAAAAGGAAAACAAAAAAGAGCAAAAAACCATTGAAATGAATCTCATTTAGCTGAAACCCCATGTAAATTTTCTGCCTTTGTTGTTCAAAACTCACCTTAGCAAAACAAACAAAACCAGTTAGTTGAACGACTAAAAGAAAGAGATGACAAGGAACAGAGAGAAACAAAAATCTCAGCTTCTCAGGGTGTCAACTTAAACAGCCAAAGCAGTGGCATGAAATGTGTGTTCAAGCAAAGAAACCTCTAACATGAAATACACTGCCCCAGAGTCCCCTAGGAGATCAAATGACAGCTAGAAAACATGCTTCAGTTGGAGCTTTCCCTGAATGACATTCACAGTTGCTCTCTCCTTCCCCACAAATGGTAATGAACCTGCTATTGAGGTGCCACTATCAGATCCTAAAAGAAGTGAAGGCACATATTTTACCCTTGTGACAGCCTGAAGGCGCCATCTGCAGTTCTCAGCTAAGACTGCAGTATACTCACACCTCCTGCTAGCTTGTGAGGATCAACCGCTAAAGAAAAAAGAAAACAAAGAAATACAAGATTCCTGTCAGAGAATCCTCAGAAGCACTGGGTTATAGAGTAGATGCAAACAGAGGTTTGGAACATAGTGCCTAAGAAAATATCTAAGGGACTTATTGGCCATAAGCTCAATGAGCAATGAGAAAAAGCTAATAAATTCTTAGGCTGCTTGATTTAAAGAATGATATATTGTCCAGACCTTGAGAACTTAATAACCCCACAGTACCCTGTCCTGTCTGTACACGTCTGAGAATTGCATTTAGTTCTGGGCACCACAATTTAAAAGCAATATTGACAAGAGCCATAAAAATGTTCATACCTTTTGACCCAGTAATCCCACCCATGGGAATTTATTCTGAAATAATTCAAGAGAATAGATGAATTAGAAACATAAAGATATTGATGCAGCATTCTTTATAACAAAAATATATATTAATAGCATAAATGTCTCCCAATAAAGGGAATATTATACATTAAAATATTATGTCATTTGAAAAAAAAAGATGAATCTTGAAAACATAAGAGAAAGAAGCCAGACACAAAAGGAGATATTGTATGATTCCATTTGTATAAAATATCCAATACAGGCAAATCTATAGAGACAGAAAGTAGATTAGTAGTTGCTGGGAGCTGGTGGGGAAGAATGGAGAGTAATTGCTAATGCATATAGAGTTTCTTTTTAGGATGGTAAAAACATTCTGGAATTACATAGTGTTGATGTTTGCAAAACCTTATGAATATACTAACACCCGCTAAATTGTATAATTTAAAAGGCTGAATTTTATGGCATGTGAATTACATCTCAATAAAATATATATGAAGTCTTCACAAATATATGCTCCTGATTCCATGAGGGGGATAAAACAGTATAAAATTACATTCCCAATATGATTCATGACCTCCTGGTTCATAAGTTGACACTCAACCACTGAGTCACACTGGTCGGGCTGTTTTTTGTTCTTTGTAGCAAAAGATGGCTAATCTAGAAAGAAATTACAACCCTACCTGGCTTGGTTCAGTGAATAGAGCATTGGCCTGCGGACTGAAGGGTCCCAGGTTCGATTCTGGTCAAGGGCACATGCCCAGGTTGTGCGCTCGATCCCCAGTAGGGGGCGTGCAGGAGGCAGCCAATCAATGGTTCCCTCTCATCATTGATGTTTCTCTCTCCCTTCCTCTCTAAAATAAATAAAAATATATTTTAAAAAGAAAAGAGAAAGAAATTAAAGGGAAACTAATTTCAGTTCAATAAAAGAACTTAACTATTACGGATATTCAAAAGGTGGGAAAGGAAGGAAATTTCCTATTCAAGAAAAGCCAAAATGGTCATCTCTGAAGCAAGCTATTCTCAAGATTCTCCATTGGATAGGTTCTTGAGGTAGAGGCCTTCTCAGTTCTCTTCCAACCCTTTTTAAAGGGTCTATAAATTTTTTATTTGTGGCAATGGGAGAATACAAATTTACTGGATTTCACTAAATCAATTCAGGTAGAGACTAAGGAAGACTTCTTGCTTGCTAGTCTTAGTTTTATTTATTTGTTTGTTTGGATTTTTTTTTATTGTTGTTATTCCTCACCCAAGGATATTTTTCCATTGACTGTTAGGGAGAGTGAAAGAGAGAGGGAAAGACAGAGAGAAACACATCCATTTGTTGCCTCCTGCAGGAGTCCTGACCAGGGCCCATGCTGGGGAGGAGTCTGCAACCAAGGTACGTGCCCTTGACCGGAATCAAACTCAGGACCCTTTGGTCCACAGGCCGACGGTCTATCCACTGAGCCAAACCAGCTAGGGCTGGACTTTATTATTATTATTTATAGAGAATAGTAGCCAAAATAATTCTACTTTTTAAATATATATACTGCTCAGAATTAACTTCCAGAAAAAAAGGGGAAAAAAGTGTAAAAGATAACCACACATAAGAAAGAACAAGAACGCTAGAGTAAAAGTATATAATTTTCACATCCTGCGCCTGGTCCCAGTCGTCCTCTGCATCCTGGACTGTTTCTTCCACACTTGGCTAGTAACTCAGGAATTCAGTAAGGCTCCTTTCAGATGCTCGAGATGCTGGTTCCCTAGAGTTTCCCCAAAGTCCCCATAAAGTCATATGAGATATAAAATCATGAATTCTTCCATAAGTGCTCATAAAACAATGCCATCTACCCCTTCTCCACTATCTCAATGAACTCTATTTACACCTCTTGTGACACTTAGTTCAAAACACTGAATGAGGTGAACTTTGATATCTGTGTATCTGTGCTATCTTCAACCAGATTGTAAACTCCCCGGGAGCAAGGTGTTGTAGCTCAGAATCAGACCCCAAGTCTGGGGAAGACCGGAGGTCAGCCAGTCCAACCACCCATGTAAAGTTTGAGGGCTCTCCACAATACTCCTCCAAGCAGAGGAGTCTGTACGGGGGGCCTACCCCCTACTCCACAGCAGCTTGTTCCTTCTTGGGGAAAGTGTACCTCTTAGAAAGTTCTATAAACGGAATTAAAATGTTTTCCTGAAATCTTAAAATTTAACATCAGTTTTACCCCTTAGTAATCCACAGAATTGATCAAATCTCTTTTGTCACAAGGTAACTTGTGAAATATTAAACCTTCATATTTTTCCTTCGATCTCCTAATCCAGTGCTTTGCACATAAAAAAAAAAAGTTAAATAACCTTCCTCCCTCACTCATCAATGTTACCAAGAGTGGGATAAGGTGGCATATTTTCTATAAGATATTTTATTGATTTCATAATGTTTTTCATTTCACTATATGGTTTTAAGAAAAATAGGAATACAACAGCCAAGAACTCAGAAATTCAATACATAAATACATTCTTCCACCACAATAGCTTTCTCACCTATTTAAGGTTTTCTCAGTCTCCACTACAAGCAGTTTCTTTAATGCTGTTGGGTGCTCCCTGTAGGCAAAGATAAACTGGGACACATGGCCCAGCTCCGCCAGGAAGAGTCCATCCTCAAAGGGAAATGTTCTTCTCACCTCTAGAATCCCCTGAGTTTCCTGGGCGGACTCAGGGCTTCATACGCAGCCTGGATCTCCAGGAAGTGCCTCTGAGCCTCTTCTGTCTGGTGCGGGTTGTGGTCAGGGTGCCAGATCTTCACTAGCTCCCGATATCTCTGATGTATTTCTTCATTTGTTGCCCCTTCTAAGAGACCCAAAACCTTAGGGAAACAGAAGCTGACAAATTAGAATCCCATAAGTTGTCAGGATACCTGGGCCTTTCTCTGCTCCCTTCTTAAATCAGGCTGTGATATCTCTGGGATCGGCTCCTACTTGACATGAAAAAGGCCTAGAGCCTCACATTAGAATTCCAGCTCTGGATCTCATGGCAAGAACCAAAATTGGCCTTTAATCACAGCTGCCCATTTTCCAACCTAGAACTTCACACCCCTGACAGGATCTCTTCCTCGCAAAAGAAATAAGCATGTGTGTCCACCAAAGACATGTTCAAGAATGTTCATAGCAGCTTTATTCAGAATAGTCCCCTCCTGGAACCCAAATGTTCATTAACAATAGAGTGGATACATAAATTCTGGTATGTTCATATAATGGGATACTAATTAACAAGAAAACAAGCGTTTTACAATTGTGTGCAACAGTATGAATAAATCGCAGAGACATAATGTTGAATGAAAGCAGAAACAAAAGAGTACATACTGAATGATCTACTTATACGAAGTTCAAGAATGGGCAAAACTAAACTATGGTAACAGAAGTCAGAATAGAGGTTACTTCCAAGGAAAGGAGTATAGCTTGGGAGGGAACATTCTTAGGGTTGGAATATTCCATTCCTTGATCTGAGTGGTGGTTACATAGGTATATACATAAAATTAGTAAACTTTATATATGTTATACCTCAATGAAAAGTAAATAAAATACACATATTTCCCCCCACTCACTATTAGAGCCTCGGCACCTTCACACCCCAAGAAACCAGGACACCCTCCCGGCCTGACACAGCAGACATGCAAACAAGGGGCACCAGCTCCAATCAGGCTTAGCCTAACTCCCAGACAGGAATGAAAAGGGAAGAAAGCCTTACCTGGTAAGCCAACTGACGCTTCTCATCCTGAAAACTGCGAACAAACTCATAGAGCTTCTCCCACTCCTGGAAGTAGCCGCTGCTGAAGCCACGATCCCCCACCAGCAGCCTCCAGACACGGTAAGGCAGAAGGAGGACAGACTCCATGAGGCGGCCAAGGAGGGGGAAGAAGTTGAACCAACTCAAGAAGGAGTCCAGGGTCTCTGCCACATAGCTGAGGGTGGCCGCTGTGTTGCAGAGGGCGCTGTATGCCAGCGGGCCGGTGAACGCCAGGTAAGCTAAGCCCAGGCGGTAGAGCCGCACACTGAGTGTCTCTGACACCACAGAAGCTTTGTAGCGGCGATGCTTCTGGGCTGTGATGCTGGCCACCAAGCTGATGGGCAGAATAGCTATGGGGCGGCCATAGAAGATAGGGGAAGTGAGAAATGCTGCCCCTAGAGTGTTCTTAAAGTCTGAGGTCTGGTTGCCAACAGCAGCCACCAGCAAGACTCCTAAGCCAACTGCCAGTGGGAGGCCCACAATATAGAAGCTAGCCATGAAGGAAAGGCTAATGAGAGCCACAAGGCCAAAATAGATGCCCACTATCATCTGGGCGGCAAAACGAATGGGACTCACAGGGGGTGTCCCGCCTCTTGAACTCTGCCTCTGTCCTTGGGCTCTGTTGGCCTGAGCTACAAAGCTTGGGAGCTTCCAGAACTCCCAGAGCCAGCCCAGCCCACCACCCCCCAGGGTAAGCATCCAGAGCAGGGCATGGCTGTCCCTGCCCAGGTACAAGTGGTGGAGCCCAGCAGGGCCCCCTACAGCCCAGAGGACATAGGTCACCAGGAGCCCCTTGGCCATCCTTTAGGGAAAGTGTCTCAGAATAACTCCAGTGGCACCTGACTTTGCTCAGAGTGCAGAAATCTGTAGTCCTCTGTGAGAATCATGGCCATCATAGCCACAGAGTTATCCCTAGACCCTAGGAGATGGAAAAAAAAAGCAGCTTTAAGACCACATCCATGTCCCAACACAGTAACCATTTGTTCTTCCAATAATAGAGTCCAGAGTTTCCTGAGTGTCCCTGAAATGCTGGTTCTTCCATGCCCTTGGGTCTAGCACCTCATGTCTGTTTTTTAACAACCATAGCGACTCCAAATTTAGGAGAGAAAAATGTTTTCAATGCTTTCAGTAGCCCTAGATGGTTTGGCTCAGTGGATAGAGCGTCAGCCTGCAGACTGAAGGGTCCCAGGTTTGATTCAGGTCAAGAGCACATGCCTGGGTTGCTGACTTGACTCTCAGTAGGGGGTGTGCAAGAGTCAGCCAATCAGTGATTCTCTATCATCATTGATGTTTCTTTTTCTCTCTCCCTCTCCCTTTCTCTCTGAAATCAATAAACATATATATATTTTTTTAAAAAACCAAAAACAAAACGAATGCTTTCAGCTGAGTAACTGAGAACTCAGAACAGGTACAAAAAAATCATAAGCTTACATTTTAGACCTCCCCTGGGACCACTGACCTGGGAATGACTCAATGGGGAGTGGAGTGAATAAGTGTGAATAGGAGGCCCTTCTAAAGTTCCTGCACATTTTGAAAGTTCCTGTCCCCCAATCCAACTCTGACTATGGCTGCCCTCAGACACTGACCCAAGGTTTTAGCCCTTCTCCAGCCTTCCAGCTCTCTCCAGGCCAAGAAATCTTCCTACAAGTCAAACATGAAAAAAGTCCTCAATTCCCTCCCCTTAAACAGCTCTGGGAAACTACATTTTGACCTGAACCCTGGTGCCCCACAATTCTATCACCTCCTGCCAGAGCCGACTTGGAAAGTCTCTCCAAAGCAGCCATGAATCCCCAGAATATAAAACAAGATGCCGAAGTGTGCCTGCCAGTCTCTCCCTGCCCCGCTACTTAGAGTGGGACGCCAGTCCCTGCTAGTCCCGCACGAGCGGCCGTACCTGGGTACCCCGGCTGCCGCTGCCGGGCGCATCAGACCAGTCATTTCCTGGGACCATAGAGTCAAAATGGCCCTTCACTCCGCTCCCACTTCCATCCAAATGGACTTTGTCTTTCTATGTTTGCTGTGTCACGGAAATCGGGTCATTGGGGCCAGGCTCCTCCCCGAGGCCCTGCCCGGCGGCCTCTGGATCACCTCGAGCTCCTCTCGCCCGCCCTCTCGGGTAAAGTCGGTTTAAGGTTTTCTGGTCGAATCCAGCCTCCCCCGGCTCCAAGGGGCGGGCGAGTGCCAGGTCCAGGCCAGGCGCTCCAGCACCGCGGCACCGAAGCACCGCGGCCGCGGCCGCCAGGTGGCGCTGCCGCGTACGAAAGGGCCCCGCGGGTCCCCTGACACCTTGTGCAGGTGCCCGGGCGAAACAGCCCAGAGCAGTCCCTAAAAATGCAAAAATAGGTCCTTGGTCTCCCCTTTCCACCCCACAAATGGGAAGGTGACTTCCCCCTCACTTCAGGCTGCACTCTCCTCTCTCTCTCTACTTGTCCTTCAAGACTGCCTTGGATGGCCCCACTTCCAGTGCCTCTACGGCAGAGACACCCACAGACAGGCTGCAGAGAGGGACCCCCAACACACACACACACACACACACACACACACACACACACACACACACACACACACACACACGAGTTTGCCTCACTGCCCCGTTCCAGGCGCGTCAGTCAGGGGTCAGTCACTACATCTAGGCCTGAGCCTGAGGCCTGAGGAGCCTCTCGATCAAGCAGGAGCCCAAGCCGGCTGTATGCCGGCAGCTATGGCGAAAGGGCGAGCCAGGAGCAAAAAGGGATAGGGGGTGAGGGGTGTCCCAGCAGGCAAGCACGGCCCTCCTCCCGCCTGGATGCTGTGGTTGAGCTAGGATGAAGGATGCCTTGGTTTTAGCAGCCTGGGCCCCCCTCCTGGTTCTGCTATGTGACCTTGGCTGCTGGGACTGTTTCCTCCCCTGCACAGGAGAAGCTCGGCTCTCCAAGGTCTCCCAGCCTTGACTTGGGGGTGGGCTGGGCGGGGCCCCAAAGCCACTCGGGAGCCGCCAGCTGGGGGTTGGGGCTGACCGGGACGCTGAATAATGAATGAGACTTAATTGGGGCCCGCGCTGCGCGGCGGCGCGCTAAGCTGGGCAAACATCTCCGGGGCGTCCGCCGCCGCTGCACAAACAAACTAGCTTCGGGCGCAGAGAAAGGGGCGGAGAAGGCAGGGCGGGGGGGCGGGGGGGGGCAGAGGCAGGCCGCCCGGGCCCACAGGGCTGCGAAGGAACCCTGGAGTGCGCGGCTGCGCTGGCCTCTGTGAGAGGAGGCTCAGGGCTTGAGCTCGGGAAGCTGGGACTGGGGAGGGAACGAAGCGGATTGTGTGGTGTGAGCCAGGGGCCCCAGGGCGACCCGAGCGCAAAGGAAAGATGGAGAAACGAGTGGAGGGCGGAAGAGAGGGGAGAAGTGAGAGAGGAAAAGGCGCACCGGGCAGGGCCTGCAGCGGGGCGGGGGCGGGAGAAGAGCTGTTACCGAGAGGAAAGGGAAGAGCGATGGAGGAACAAGCGGAGGGAGGCGACAGGGGCCGGGAGAAGAAGAATTGGATCGGAGTCAAGGAGAGGGATGGGAGGTGACCGGAATGCGAACGAGAGGGCGGCGGGGCGGGCGGGCGGCGCTGCTGCCTCCCCTCGGCCCGCCGCGCTCCCGCCCTAGCGCTCTCTCCAGTCGCCCGCACTCACTTTGTCACAATTACGGGGCCGTCACTTGGCCCGGATTGTTTTCCCCAAATTGTTGTTCTATAAACTGGCACGGGGTGGGGAGTGGGGGGACCCGACCAGCTGCGGTGGAAGCGAGGGTCTGAGCTGCGCTGAGGGTGTGGAGGCGTCTTCGCCCAGACGGCCCGGCGCAGGCAGGTGCCTCCAGGGGCCCACGCTGGACGCTGGACGCTGGCTGCTGCCCGTCGCTGACCCCGCGTTTAACCTTCCTGGTCCTTCTCAGCCGCGCTGCCTCAGTTTCCCCGACTGGGAACTTCTTCTCGGATTGAGGGGCAGGGGCGGTGGAGGTGGCTGTAGGTTGGGGCCCAAACCTCCCTGCTCACTCCATTCTTTTCTGTTGTTCACTATCCCCGTCGCAGGGAGGGAGCCACCTGTCCCAGCTCAGCCCCTCCGAATGGCTGGACTCCCACTCCCTGCCCGGGGCTCCGTTCCTTATGTATCTTTACTCACCCTCCCTTCGCCTGGTGTAGGTAGGGTGAAAAAAAAAATACAAAGTACGAGTGGTGGCGCGGTTACAATCCAAACGTCGATCTGATGGAAGGGTATGCGAAGAGGGAGAGGAAGAATGTATAGTGAAGTTGAGAGAGAGAGAAATGGGTAGAGTCGTGCACAACACGAACTCTTATAAGATACACACAGAGCTAGGGAGGAGTGAGAGAGATGAAAAAAGAAACATGGCGTCAAATCAAGAAGTAACTCTCTCGCACTACGTCGATAACATTTTGTGATGATCGATAGTAGTAGAGAGGAAGGGGTGAAGTAATTTGTAATCGATCGAC